CCGTCACAACCCTATATCTTATCTGAACTTTCTATTCATCAAAAAAAAAAATGTCTACAATTATTTAGCAGCACAAGTGTTTCAACATTGATAATAATCAGAAATGTTTCTTGAGCAGCAAATCAGCATATTAGAATGATTTCTGAAGGATCATGTGACACTGAAGACTGGAGTAATGATGCTGAAAATTCAGTTTTACATCACAGGAATAAATTACACTTTAACATGTTAAAATAGAGAACAATTACTTTAAATTGTAAAAATATTTCACAATATTTCTGTTTTTACTGTATTTTTGGTCACATAAATGCAGCCCTGCTGAGCATAAGAGACTTTTCTGTAGTATATATTCATATAGCTAAATTATTTATTATTATTATAATCATTTATGTTATTATTCAGTATGAATATACAAATGCATTATTACGACAGTTTTTAATTATTCATTTTAATTATTTATTATAATTGCATGCCTGAAAGAGATTAATGTTTAAATACTTTTTGGATTAATTTGAATAAGCTTTTAGGGCACCTATAATACTGTAGTAATTAATAATTTAAAGTTAAGGTAATTTAACATACTTCATGTTTGAGTCAATTTTAAGAAGAAATGTGTGAAACCTTCTAAAGAATGGATTGAAAAATGGCAAAATGCCTTAAGGGAATCTAAAACTATACTCTTAGTAGCTGACAACAATCATTTAATAAGCATATTGAGCGGTGGATTTGTAGGATTATGAGTGACAAGTGAGTCTATTTTGCTATCTGTAACCTTGTCTGTTTATGATATAACCTTGTTGGATCAATCTGTAGACAGATGAACAAGAGTGTAAAACTGCATGTAAAGACTATGAATGTACAGGCAATTGTGGCTCCATGACTGACGACTTCATGATGTCATGCTCAGCTGACAGTAAAGATTGTGCATGTTCATTACCACTGCACGTGTTGGAAGGGCAACACAAATCACCTTCACATGTGTCCGTCTTACGAGAGAATGTCATTGTCGGGTTGAATGTTCGCGTGGTGAGCCTGATGGTGTGACGGGAATGATTAATGTGTGAGATCTCAGAAGGTTGTTGAAAGAGACTGAAAGACGCTCAGAGGCACGGAGGAGGCTGAATGAAAGCCGGAATGGAGCGAGGGATAGATCCGGATGAGAAAGAGTGTA